GTGCCCAAATTTCATCGAAGAAATATGTTATTAACCGGCCAGAAGGTACGGATCTGCAAAAACTGCGCCYGAAGTCTTGAATGTACGGTGTAATCGTTGTTGCTCAGCGGCGTCCCAGGATACCGGACCGCGACCGCGCGCAGATACTAAGATTTTTACCGCCCGCTCAAACAGCCAATCAGAACGCAAGCATTTATAGAATACCAGACCTGTAAAATTTAAGCAATAGAAAACTTTTTCCGTGTTTACATAGCCTGATAGCAACACGAGGGGAGGTTGGGAGAATTCGAGACAGTTATGCAAACCCGAGACGTAGTCGAGGGTTTGCATAACTGTCGAGAAWTCTCCCAACCCCCCGAGTGTTGCTATCAGGCTATGTAAACACAGAGAAAAACATTTTCTATTGCTTTTATAAAATAAATACTAAGGGAAAACATTACCACTTGCAAGAAAATAAATCTTTATTTGAATTTGATTCTCATATCAAAATACAAATCCTCCATACATCACGAACTTCGATCGTTAGCCAATCAAATTTCGTGTAATAAACGCCAAGGAGGCAAATGTGAAGCGTGAAAGAGTCGCTAGCTATTTTAAATATTTATCATTCTAAAACTTTAAAACAAATACAAAGAAATGTTCAAAGATTGAATAGAAATATTAATAAAATATTTCAGAATTGATTATCTTTACGAAAGTGATCAAAAGTAGATAACTGAGTGTCACTGTGACTGGAATTCTCAGTTGCAAGAAACGTGGTTTTGCTCAATTTGACAGCCAGAAAACACGGCGGCGAAGTCGATTGTTTCGTCTTGCCTCGAGAAAATATTTTGTGGAGTTGAAGAGCTATCGCTGGAAAGAGTTTGAAGCTGCTCACTGTTTCCTTGAAATACTTGTATTCCTTATCGGACAGTGCATTTAAATCATAAGAAAGCTTTTCGCTGAACAACCGAGGCTGTCCTGACGAAGGACGTGTGTTGTAGCTCCTGAGAGAATTCTCGTTACGGTGACCAACAAGAGATTGTCATGATCGATATTACGATCAGAAACACCTGCATGACACCATAGGGTTATGCCTGTGGCCCTGACACATGTCAAAATTTGGAACTTTGTCTTCAAAATACATTTTTGGGGGCGTTTTTTTCCTCGAAAAAAAACTGTAAATTTTTGAACTTGTACCGGGAAAACACGAAATGTGTGACGTCACAACTGTGTTTACATACCCTCATGCAAATATGGCTATCAACCAATCACAGCATACGTACTATTTAATTTATTTTATAAAGTGAAATATCTTTTGTATGTTCATGTATTCCTTGGATGATCAGAGATCACTTAAAGGGTTCAGTTGCATTGAATTTGATTTTTCATTATTATTA